AGTTTCTTTTCGTAACTGTCCAAGAAGAGTTTGGTGATTGGTATGCACGCATGAGGTGATATGCCTGAGGGCAATTATAGCTACATCATAATGTTTTTGTGGACAGTGGCTGGAAAACATGAGCAATGCATCACTTGGACATCAAGAAATGGATGGTAGCATGGATGGGTGTTTCTCTATTTGATTAAAGGGAAGTCATGGGTGTTCCTGTCTGAATAGCTGGCAAAGAGGCTTCCCTTACTTCAGCTGTGTATTCATCATATTCCCAGCAGTTGTCTGAGCTAGTATTTGCCTCTGTGAGCAGTAACTTACTAAGCAGTAAGTGAAGCACAAATGAGAATAGCTTTTGAGGAAATACAAGTGTGAATTCGTAATCTGTGTCAATACACATGCATTGTGTTGCCCAGGCTTTCCAAATGCATCCATGCAGCCTGTGCTATTATTTCCTAGGCCATGTCTCATCTACACTTGTCATGCAGTTACCACACCCTGCCAGTACTTCCTCAAGAGGTACTTCCCTGACATTAACCTTTTTGCAGTGGTGGGTGGGACCAGAAGTTATGCAAGAAAAGTTATAATGAGAAACTCTCTGGTAGAAGTTGTAGTGTAGAGTCCAAATTGCAGTGATATTAGTAAAGGCCCCTTGATTCACATCTGACCAGTTTTTATAATGTCAAAAATTATTTGCTTCAAGGCTTTTTGGTTTGGGTTGGGTTTTTTTGGGGGTGTTTTGATTTGGTGGGGGGGGGGGGGGGGGGTGTGGGGGGGATAATTTTTGTGGTTTTTTTGGTTTTTGTTTGTTGGTGTTTTTTTTCTTTAGATTGTTTTCAAGGTAACTGGAAGGCATTTGTCATGTGTGTGTTTAAGCTGTGTCTCTTGATTGCTGTTGTGTCTTTTAGCCATCCACGTCTAGGCATGGCTGTAAGGCAGCATAAAGCAGTAAAGATTGACCATTTGGAGCATTAGAAGAAACTACTGGGAAGAAACACGTGTTTTTCAGTAGAGTGACATCTTTCTTTACATCTTTCTGACATCTTTAAATCAGGAGATTGCTTATATTTGCTCAGAAAACACTGATGGCAGAAACACTTGTTGCAAATGTTTTATCCTTTGTCTGGTTATAAGGAATGAGAACCTCTTTAGGTGCTAAAATAGACAAGAAAAAAAAAGCAAGATTCAGTTTATAGGAGATTAGCAAAGATTAACTCTGGGGATTTGGGAGAGATGAACTATAAAACTCATTTCCATGGAGGGAATAGCAGCCAGACTGTCCTGGTCATGTGCCAGAGAGCTAAGGAAAGAGGGTTCTGTGGCATCCTTGGAGCATGGGAGTCTTACAGCATACACATGCAACAAGTTCAACACAGCAGCCTGCCCAGTGTCCAGTCGGAGAAACTGAGACCTGTCTGTGTGACCTTGCACTTGACAGCATGCTGACTCTGAGGCAGTGAGTCTGGGTTGGTCTGACCACTTCCGTATTTATTTTGCAAATATCCTTCCCCCTGTCCTACTTGATTTCCTGTTTAGTAGAGGAATATGGGTGTTTCCGGGATTAACATGGGCATTGAAACATCGGTGAAGTCCAAAATCTTCTTTTTTGTATGGCACTTTTCTTTGCTGCTGCAACACAGTTTCTTCTGTTGATTATAATGAATCACTTTGGAAAGCTGGCTTAGGGCAGAGGTGCTAGATGTGGTTGTGATTGAAGTAATTTGTTTTTGTAGGAGAAATGTGATACTTGATAGTTTTCTATTTCTTGATAAAATTCTGTGGGTTTGGGATTTTTTCCTCCCCTCTGCAAGTATTTAGTAACTTTACAAGTTGTGGTAACTTTGACAATCTTTGATAAATTGCTTCTCTTTACAGTAGGTAAACTTAGTACTTGTCCAAAAATACATCAAGTTTCCAATAATGCAGCTGAGCTTGAGAAAGTAATTTTTGTTACTCCTGTCATGCTGGCTGAGGAGCAGATACAGAAAGCTGTAGAACACTCAGCTTTTCAGAGCTTGAATGTAGAGAGCTCTTCTACTTGTGAGATTTCCCATTGTTTGGCATCAGGAAACACTAGTCTCTTTCTAACATCTTTACTTTGTGGAAGAAGGTTTCTGTCCCCCTATTGCAACAGAAGAACCAAATAATGATGACTATTGAGGTGGGTTTTTTTTTGTTTTATGGATGAGCTGCTGGATTCTTGGACCCCATGTGAAATTAGCCTTAGTATTAGATACCTCAGTAAATTGGAAAAGGCATCTAATTTTAGCTGCTTCCCTGGCATGAAAGGTCAGTGTCCAGCCCCACTGTTTTGCTGACAGACTTTATCGTGCAGAATTGCTGATTTGGGGATACAAGCCAGTTGCTGTAATTGTTTATAAACTAGCCCCCTTTTGCCAGGAAAGGATATGAAAGTCTTTCAAAACTACTGCGGGCCCTTAGAGTGCTGTCAAAATTTCTTCACTGCCCTTTTGATTGTCTTTTCCTTCTTGAGCCATAATGCAGTACTTTCTTCTTGGCCAGAGCTGAAGACTAGACCTACAATCTAAAGTTAGGCTTTAGCCTAGAATTAGACTTTTATTGTCTCCAGGTACACTGGTTGATGGACTGTCTTCTAATAAGTGTTCTCTGTCCAAGACAGGCATCGGAACTACAGGAATAGTCCTGTGAGAGAGAGAAATAGTGGAGTTTCCTGTGAGGAAGCACCTGTGAGTAGATTATTATCTTACCTCTCTAAGTGCAAACACTGTGGTTCTTGTATAAAAGACTCAAAACCCAGTTCTGGTTTTGTTCACATTAGTGTAAACTCTGACATCTGATGGTGCTGGAGCATGTCACAAGGTGCAGTTTGGGCCCTGCTGTTCCTGGGGTTGATGAGAAGCTCATGTTTGGCTACTGCTCGTGTACAGGTCGATTAATCATTTAAAACTTGATGTACCCAAATGCATTCCAGAAATCCACTGCTGCTCACTTTGAGCAGTAAAACTAGGACTTATGAAGCAAACAGGCATAAGAAGTAAACAAGCTTGCTCAAGACTTTTATATTCTGCATGCTTATACAGGAGAGTGCTCTGAACTATTTTATTGGTGGGAGTGAGAGGAGGTTTGGTAGCAACTGCAGACTGCAATGCCCACGCAATTCGCCATGTGCTTGGTAATAAATAATAGATATAGAAAGTTTTTGATTTTGTGAAATTTTGTTTCAGATCAAGTGTTTAGAAAACAATTATACAGATTATAATTAGAACATATTTCAGGTCTACTTTCCCCATATGGGTGGGGGTTGGGACGGTGGGGGAGGGTGTTGGGTGGTGTTTTGCAGGAGGAATGGTTTAGTTTTTTTGGCATAACACAATAAAGGGAGTTTTCAGTTGAGCAGCCATCTCCTTCTGCGGAGGAAACTCACAGGGTGATATTTATGCTTGTTTAGTCATCAGAGATGAAGTGCACAATAATGGTAAGCCTGTGTTTCTACAATTGGAGGATATTTCTCATAATGAAGGAAGTCTCCAAGGTCAACAGCTACAATACCCGGAGAAGTTACATCACAAAACCACATCTGCACAAGACTGCTCTCTTCCTCCCACCCCCCTTGTCTTCTTTTTGCATGTTCTCTCTCTCTCAGCTTAAGTCTTGCTCACATCACTTGCAAGAATACTGTGGATTTGGTTTGGATTTCTGTTTGCAGTGTTATTTAGCTATTACAAAAATAATAGGCCAGCCCCCCAAGCAATCAGCAGGAGTGAATGAGTAGGTTTTTCTCCCTAAATAATTGGAAAAAATCCAAGTATAGTCTTCTAATATCCTGGACATTCCCAAACTTGGTTTCTCTATCTAATGTTTTTGCAATGAGCATTACATTGTATTTTCATGGTGGCAGCAGCAGCACCAGCCTCGGCCTGTGCACTTCTTAGTCATTTTCTGTCATGTTATAGTAGTGGGCAGCTCATGCTGCTGCGTTGAGCTGTGTGTACATGAAGGAGAAAGTTTTAGGATATTTTAGCAAAATTTGCATGAAGGAAAAGAGAGGAGGCTAGATCTTAATTTTTCCAGGTCTCTTTGTATCTGCATTTATTATGCAAATTAATGTTACTGCTACATGTAACACAGTTTGGAAACCTGTGATGTTTTCTTGTGTTTGTATGCATGAAATTTCAGTGCAAGGAATGTATTTTATAATGTTTTTTTTCTAAGCAGTACTTTTCACCAATGTTTGCTTGGTTTAGCTGTAACAAATGGCTGTTAATCTAAATTCAGGTTGTCATATAATGGCAAGAACAAGGGCACTCCTTAGAAGCCTACCTGTCCATTTTATTTGTTTGCCAGCCTCCTGGTGAGGTTTGCTCTTACTCCATCCACAGGATAGCAAAGTGAGAGGTTGCTCTACATACTCCTCATTGCTGTAGACCTTATTCTGTTTATACCCAAAACTCTGACTCAATACTGTTGAAGTCAGCCAAGTCATTCCTTGGCTTCAGGTTGTTCTGAATCAGTCTATAAACCTAAAAGTCAAAGCTGGTTCTAACAAAGAAAACAAAACCTTTTTCCTTCTGTTCCTAGCAGAACTTGTGTTGTGGTTTAAGCCTGTTGTTCATGTCTGATCATGTTCACTGATGATCATTCCAAGCATCATATTAGTGAAATTACCTAGTATTCAATATTTCTTTGATTGCATCTGGTTTGTCAACAATTAGTGCATTTAAAAAGGGTGGCGGCATTCTGCCGTCCCTGTTCCCTCACTCTGCAATTGGGAATGGTAGTTACGAAGAGCTGTAAACGTCATCCACATAGCTAGGTAACCGTGACTATTTAAGAAGGTGAGAATAAAGGCTGACCTTCTTTTAGGTGTGTACAGGTATGAGATAAGTTGGATTGGACTAGCGAAGGAAGGATTTGTAAAGCTTAGGATATGTGTTTTGGAAGGTGTGCTAGATGTATTGGCTATAAGTTGCTCATCCTGGCCTTGCTCAGCATTGTGGCCAATATTTTACTTTATTTTCCCAATGGAGAAACAAGATACGCTTCAGAGCATCATCTCGGAAAATACGTGGAGTGCCTTCATGGCATTCTAGGCGGAGGCTTTTTGGTAAGTAATGAGATTCTTTCAAGTTTATTTTGGAACTACTCAATATTACTATTTCTTTACCATTTACACTAGTAAATTGATCAAATACCCTGTCAACAGGAATCTCTTAAGTTGGATCAAAAGAAATTAGCTGTGTTACCACATAGGTATTATTAATTGTTATTGGTTATTTTATCTGCAACATTATGTCACTTTAAAGCTGAGAAAATCAGAGTCTAGATTGCAGAATACACATGCAAAACTGGAACCAAGCCTCTGAGCGTGTCATGGTTTGCATAAAGGGTTAAATCTTACATTTTACTTGTTTAAAAGGAGTTCAACAGTATACCCCTAGATAACTAGCATTTAGTTAATAGTTCCTTAATTTCTACTATATGAGATGTTGACAGTTATTTCTCTGCCTTAGCTGTTTATTCAGAAGAATCAAGTGGCAGTTATCAAAGCTTTGCATTCTAGTAACAGCAAAGGATGAAGAATTGAGTATGTTCATTATAGGACATTGTTAATCTCAAGCTATTATTTTCTGTCTTTTGTAATTTTATGGACCATATTGTAGCATATTTAAGTTCCCTGACTTCAGGTCTCCTTTGTAATTTGCTTTTAAAAGTCCTCTTAGAAGTAGGCTACAGATCTGAAGACTATTCATCTGGGTAGTTTTTATTTTACTGTCTTGTTGAGTAAATCTAAGCAGTTTGCAGATAACACTTCACTCTTTCTTTATGGTTTTCCAAGGTACTCCTGGGTGTGGAAACTTTTTAAGTGCGAACTATTATTAAGTCCTGATGTTGGTGGGTTGGATACTCTGTTTAATCAACTCTCCTCCTTGATTTTTATGGTAAAAGCTCTGGAGTATGGATGATTTGTGTTTTTTACAGGTAGCTCTTGCTTTGTTATTTTTCATTTCTGTCACTGGAAACTGGTTGTGAAAACCTAGAAGCAGCAGTCTGTAATGAAATGTTTGCCTGAATTGGGCAAAATATTCCTAGACACTAGTCATACTGGTTTGTCACACAGGCAATGATGACAACTCTTCAGTGACTAATATGTCAGTAATAGTTGGGTTTTTTTTAACAAATAATTGTGGGAGACTTCTCTCGTAGTCCTCATTTGACAGAAAGTGAATACATTTTTTTGCAGAACATTTTATTTGGCGGGTACAGCCTTTAATGTGAACAAAAAATTTTAAAGTTGAAGCACTTTAAGTTGCAGCAGTACCACAGCAGGCTCTTTATGCACTTAAGTGCTGTGTATACACAAATCAGAAATACACCTATCTTGGTGTTGGTGTTACTGATACCAGAGGCAAGATGCCTGCTGTGTTAAACAGGAGTGGAACTCAATAACTCGCACAGACTGCCTCAGCTCTCTGCCAAGAATAATGTAAATGAAGTTAGTGTGAGGACTGTCTTTTATCTGTCTTGTCTGTGCAACAAAATAGAAGTGTGGTGTGTCTGCTCCACATCTAGGTACTTATTCCAGCTGCAGTATTCATTGGGCTTCACAATGATGACTCCTGTGGATGCTTTGGACATGAGGACTGTGGGAAAAGCTGTGCGGTGAGCCTTTACACTCCCGTCCCAGATAATCTCAAAGGCAAGGTGATGGCTGTGTCAAAAATTCATGTCTCTGTTTGCTGTGCAGATGCTGTCCTCAGTTCTGGCTGCCTTTATTGGGATCATTGGTTCTGGATATTGTATAATCATTTCAGCACTGGCCTTGTCTCATGGACCATACTGTTTTACTCACTTAGAAAGAAACTGGATCTATCCTTTCACTGAATCCTCTGGAGGGTAAGTTGGCTGTTCATGAGGATGTTAAATCTTCCCCTCTGTACACATAGACTGTATTTCAGTACCTTTCAGCAATATCCAGTAACCATATACCAAGATCTGTTCATAAGTTTATGCTTCTTGTTCACTTGGACTTGAACTTGCTCACTTACTCTTGAAAAGATGGCATCAGTTACTCACACTGCTTAAATTTAAAACCAAAGCAATATAAATTCTCTGTCCTACAAAAAGGAATCTGATCATATATGTATAACTAATAATATCTATATACCGTATACTGTTCATATCCATGAACATCACTAACATAAAGCTTTAGGACTTTGAGGGATTTACAAACTATGAATAGCGGTTGTTACAAAAATTGTCTCATCATTTGTGTAAGACTGTTTTGTGAGGCTTGCTTCTGAAGTTGCTCTGTGTTGCTATAAACTGGCCTAATACCTTCATTAGTGACAATGGCATAGAAGCTTTGTAAATGAACTAGAAAAGGTTTATAAGAATCTTTGTACACCACAGGGCTGGGAGGGCCAGAAGCACCTAACTATCTCTAATTAGGGTTCTCCAGCAAACCAAGCTGAATTGTATGCTATTCCCCATTAATCCACACAAGTCCCACAGTCTGGAAGAGGATTTGGTTTGGATCATGGCATGCTTTTACAGTGTCTGTATGATTGGCAACCTCGAGGCTGTTTCTAGTAACAGTTTATGGCTGATGCCAGACTAGAGAAAGTTTGAGTACTAAGAAACCACATAAAGCAACTTTGCAGCAGAGAGCTTGAATTTTACATTTCAATTGCATCTCTCCCGGGAGGGGACATTCATCCTCCTCCTGCATTCCCTTCCCCCCTTGCCCCCTCTCCCCCCATATGACTGAATACAGAAGAACTGAGTCAGCTCCTTGCTGAAGGTTCATCAGGGCTGATGTTCTGAAGATATGGATGCGAACTAACAGCTGGAATACTCTGAATTTGCTCTGTGTTTGGCTCTTCCAGCATAGGCATGTGAGGGCCCAAAGAAAGCAGCACAAGAGAGGAGGTGACCCGTTTGGATCGGTAATTGCTGTCTTCAGAATAAAGGCCCAGTCCTGAAAAGCTCTATGGTTATTTTGAGAAATAGCTTTGTTCTTTCAGCTTCCTTGAGCTTGTGTCTCACTTTAATCAGTAATACAAGATTCTGCCTTTATAGCTTAGTTTGCTTTTATTTTTTATTTTGCTTTTTTTTAAAAATCTTTTTAAGAAATTAAGACTTAACAAAAATGTATGGTTGATAGTTCAACATGCTCTTAAACAGAGCAAATTCTGCATGGAATAAACCATTGCATTTTCTATTCCCACTTTGAGTATCCTCAATGCAGTTACAGACTGGACATTATTTGTTCTAGTTATAGTAAGCATCCCACTCTGTTAATATGCTTCTAATTGCTTTGTACAGGTACTTGTTTGAGTATAACAGGTGGTCTGAATGTCAAGAACCTCATAACATTGTGCAGTGGAATGTCACCCTCTTTTCCATCCTTCTTGTCTTGGGAGGAATAGAGTTCATTCTGTGCTTCATACAGATAATCAACGGCATTCTTGGAGGACTGTGTGGGTTGTGCTGCAGTCATGAGGAGGTAAGCCATTTGTAGTTATAACCATGCTTTTTTTTTATATAAGGAGGAAGTTTGAGTATAAAGAGGAAGTTCTTTACTGTAAGGGTGATGAGGCACTGGAATGGGTTGCCCAGGGAAGTTGTGAATGTTCCATCCCTGACGGTGTTCAAGGCCACGTTGTACAGAGCCCTAGGTGGCATGGTTTAGTGTGAGGTGCGCCTGCCCATGGCAGAGGGGTTGGAGCTAGATGATCTTAAGGTCCTTTCCAACCCCAACTATTCTATGATTCTGTGATTCTACTTCTCAGATGAACTTCAAACACTTGTTACTGATGTTACTGTGGAATCTTACTTAGCAGCTACTTCATAGATATTCTTAAACAACAATTCACTGTACAGGTTTTTTTACAGCCCTGTTGTTTGACCACATGACTTCAGCTGATCCCTCAGCTGTCACAGTGAAGTTAGGCTGCAGAGGAGCTGGAAGGCTTTTCCCCTCCCTGTGGCACATGTTGTCTTCAGCACTATATAGGTGTGATATACCTGAAATACAGATCTCCTGGTGGTGTTTTTTGCCAAAGCCTAAACCATTGTTGCATGGTGTGCTACAGTTTTGTGGTAGGTTACTTGTTCTAGCTATATTGCTTTAGCTGTGTATTTTGCTCACATGCAGCAGATGTATTACTGAGAATATGCAGTAATGAAAACCACAGCCTCTGGCCTTGTTAAAGGTAAAGAATTAAATTGCACATAGCTAACAAAACCTGCAGACAGATCTGATGGGTTTTTTGAAGGAAGGGTTTTTTGTTGTTTTTTTTTTTTGAAGAAGGGAAATTTTCCCAGACTTCTTTAGTGTCCCGTTAAACAGTTTGAGTATGTTGTTAAAATTGGTATCCTAGTTATAGTGTTGGAACTGCAGTAGCTTAAGGTATGAACCAGATGTGATTTATATCACACACATTATGACTAAGAACGTTTCACATTTTTAATTGGCGTAGTTGAATGCTGTGGTTTTATCAAAGCTATTACTGTCTTCTCACTCCTGTCTGCCATGCTGTAACTGCAGTATAAAAGAGCCATGCTAAGGTTGTCTAAATGTAGCCAGGTTAATTTTAGCTCTTGTGGTTGAATATAATATTAGCTTTCTTCCCCTTAATAAGTGTCTTTCTTTTTGTTCTCCCCACAGACATACGCTTGCTAGAAACTTGACAATGTATTGACGTCGGTACATATGTGTGATGTATTGAGATATCTGTGGGGTTTTGGGGGTTTTGGTTTGTTGTTTTTTTTTTTTTGTTGTTTTTTTTGTTGGTTGGTTTTGGCTTTTTGGGGGGGGGGGAGGAGGTTGGGCATTGTTTTTTTCTTTTGTTTTGTTTTTACATTCCATGCTTACTAAAATGCACGTTGTTTGTTGTCAAACCGTGCTATTGCCATCAATTTAACTGACTTGAGGCCAGCCTTTGTTGTTAGTCATATGTGTGTTTTCCAACCTGCCTGTATCTAAAGCCAAAATGTATCCTGAATTTCTCTGGTTCATTTCATTTTAGTATGGGCAACTGCCTGAACGCATGTCACTATAGATGTTGGGTTTGTGCTTTTTCTTTCTACTGACAAAATGGCTCTGTACTTTATGTTGTTTTCCTAGTAAAGTTGCACTTTGTTGGAATGAGCACAAACCCAACCTAGTGTGTCCTGGATATAAAGGAATACTAGGCTGGAACAAAAATAAAGCGGCAGTAAAATGTGGGTTATTGAGGGCAGATATATGTGCTTCACCTCTTCAGAAGTTTTCTGAACTTCTGTATTTCACAAATAAAGATTTATATTAAAAACACCCAGCAGGTGTCGGTGATTCTTTCCCTGCCCCTGCTGAAACACTGCTTTCCTCATCTTAGTGTAAAAGATAATGCAGCATTAAAACATGACTATAAGGCAGTCAGGTTATAACCTATTTCTCCTCTCCAGCAGGCTCTGTCAGAGTGGGAACTGCTTCACTGTTTGGTTTAGATCATTTAGCTGGGCCAGGCAATTGTGCATCAACAAGGGTATGATACTTCAGTGACACGTATGGCTCTGTGACAGATTAAACTATCTACATGGAGTCTTAGTCCTGTGTCTGGGCTACTAGTTAGTTCATTGCTGATGGCCATCCCAGGGACCAGAGGGGAATTCCCATGCAGCTGAGCTATAGCTCAAAAACATACCAGAAACTTGAGGTGTGTCTCAAGCTGTTCTCACAGCCCAGTCTGCCAAGTACAAAAGTATATCTGAAAAAAGAAGTTAACCGTGAAGATGAAATCGCACATACACATCCACAGCAGCAAAAGAACTCACAGATGGGAAGAATTTGTGTTTAGCATCTCAGGATATCCGCTTCTTGCAATGTCATTTATTCATACATAAATACATAGAAATAGTTGAGGGCAGTCTTTCATACTTTACTGCAACTGCTTATTGTATTTATCTGTGTCTTGCCCTGCTAAGAAGAGAATATGTGCGTGTATGTGTGTATACACGCAAAATTCCTTGCAGCTTTGCAGCATGGTGTCTTTATATATGAAGAAACACTGTTTGAAGAAAGCTCTGCAAGTTTAAATTAAGGGTAGAGTGAGAGGAGGAGGAAGAAAAAAAGCCTTGGGTGACATGGTTTAGTGTGAGGTGTCCCTGCCCATGGCAGGGGGTTTGGAGCTAGGTGATCTTAAGGTCCTTTCCAACCCTAACTGTTCTATGGTTCTAAGAAAAGAGGGTCTTGATGGAAAGGGCTTAATTCCCATACAACTTACAGATTTGTTTGCTTTCATGCTTGCGTGGTTGTTACTTGTCTTTCTGGCATACACAACTAATTAAAGAACTGAATCAACTTTAGAAATTCCAGTGGGCAGAATGATTAGGTTAGAGTTTAAAATTAAAATTTTAGCTCAGATGCATGCAGTGCTAATGCACAGTATTAGTACTCATTGCTTATGTTGTGATTTAAAAAAAGGCCAGTTGAATTCCTTTGTTGCCATATGCGTAAGACAGTGGTTTGGGAGCTTTATCAGTTTATCATGGAGAAGAGGTTGGTTTTAGGTTATTTCAGTTAGCAGAGAACTCACTCATCCAGAGTAAACATGGCTTTTCGGTAATGGGCTTGGCATCAACTTTTGGATATTGACAGCAACAAGAAAGCAGTTCTTGCAACACTTGGTAAGATATTTGAGAAACTAATTCCTAGGTTTGCGTAATATTTAGTATAAAATGGAGTGGGTTTTGGTTTTGGTTGGGTGGTTTTTTGTTTGGTTTTTTTTTTTGTTCTAGCAACATAGTGTGCCAACAAAAATACAGACCTTGATTTGGTATTTGCAGAGCTCAGTTTAAGTACAAAGTAAGTCATGATGTAGACTGCTATACTGCAGAAAAAATACTGTCTCAGATGTCATTTTGTATGTTTCTTTAATCAGAGTAGATTACTATGGGAAATAGCAGCCAATTACATTGTTTTTAGCCTATTACATGATCTCTGAGTTTTCTAATAAAAAAATCAGTCCCGGGGATGTGATGTGCCTGCTTCTAATTCAGCTGTTTTTTCTGAACTGTAAGGCATAGCGTTGATGATATGAGTTCTGTCCATGCCTGTGAGCCTGCAGAGGGAGGTTTGCTGCTAATTTTTATTAGAGGCAATCCTGATAAAAGTGTGTAGTGATTAGGGAGTAAACCAGGAATATGGGAAAATCCTCAGATTAAAGTATAAGGACTTCAAAATGAAGCATCCTAGAAAAAGAGGGGGAAATGGAGAGTCACAGCAGAGAACATGTAGAAAAAGGGTGTAATTGCATGAGTACCACCATGCCCATTTCCTTGATCTCATTCAGAGCAATAGGAAGGAATTAGTTTCAACATGCAACCCAGTTTTTTTAATGAGATCATGAGAGAACCCTCATGTGCAGAGCCTGAAAACAGCTATTGAAGTTCTGAAAACAGAACAAAAATATGCCATGACATCATTGCTTCTAAAATCAGCCTTCTTGCCTTTGATAAAGCCCATGTATTTTTGTTCTCTGACTGTGACTTTCCTATTGAGTAAACCCAAAGCTCATTCTTCGGTTATTTTTCTGATGACTCACAAGGGCTGTTTTAGTGAGGCTGCCCCAAGTTAGCAGCAAGTGTTGGTTCACCCTTAGGGTGGTATCTGCTAAACTCTGGTATTAATTCTCTGTAGTGTAAGGCAGTATGGACATATTTATCATTTGACAGCCCTCCTTCTCTATATAAGGTATAGGAAAAATTTTGGGCTTCAATAAGGCTGAGCAACCTGCCTTCTGTCACAGAGTATGTACATCATAATCTGTGTTCTCGGGAGGAGTGCATTTTTAAGCAGTTGCTAGGAAATGAGATTTTTTTTTTTTAAGTTCCTTCCTGAGTCCAATTTCTTGACATATTTTATTTGAGAGATCACAAAGGAGGATCTTTTAGAAGGGCAACTGCTACTTAAAGACACACGCTTAGAAAGGACAATGAGTTTAGACAGTGATATGCATCTATTGTTCTGCTGTTAAGCACTTCTCTCTCTGGAAGCGTACCCCAGTCATCCTGTTCCTGCAAATATGAAATGACTGAATCAATCCAAGGAGGTCAAAACGCCTTTCATATCTAAAACCTTGTAATCTTTTGTTAGCTTAGAAGAGCAAAACTTCTGAAGTTCCTGAGATGGCTTTAGAGACATGTGGAAACTGTTTGAGTTGTCTGTTGATACCTCTTGCACTTTGGAGTATTGTTGTTAACATCCTATTATACTTCCCTAATGGGAAAGCTTTGCATGCCGCCAGTTACCAGCTTCCCAACTACGTGTGGTATTTTGAAGGCATCTGTTTCTCAGGTGTGATGGTAAGTGTTGATTCTATGACTTTTTAATAAATTGCATCCTACTGCAAGTAATGTTGGGATCCTGTACAGCAATATAATTGTGCTTTTAAAGACAGTATGAATTACTTTCACAAAAACACTGCAGGCAGGAAAGACTTGATCAAACTGAAATAAATGTGAATATCCTGAATGACATGCTGTGTATACTATTTAATTTCATGTAAGTGGTTTTGAAGTGCCGATTGTTTTTTCTGCTGGCTTTTTGTTTATGTGTCATTTATGTTTGTATTGTGGAGCCGGGCACTGTGTTGATTTAAGCCTCTGTGGAGGCTGAGTTAGAACTCTTTTACCGAAATAAAATGTAACAAAACCTAAAAAAGCTTCTCATAAATGTTTAGATGTTTTTAAGAGCTGTGTGCAGTCCAGTATTTAGAGGACTGGGTACAGTTCACAATGTATCAAGTGCCACTGTTGTTAGGCAAAATGCATAAGATTATCTCACTGTGATGGGCATATTGGTATTTTCTCCATTACATTTGTAATATGCTCATCTGTAGTAATACACTAAGACAGATTTGCCCACTGCTCATACTGTTTGCTATGTTCATAAAGAACTATAGGCTCAGGGACAGAAAGCAGGTATGTAATAAAAGTGCGTAAGTAAGGTGGTTTTATGAAGGTGCTGAATTGGGAGAGTTATTAAAATGTGAGATACTCTTCTGAAATTCTGTATTCTTAAAAGAAAAACCTTAACTTTTCTAGTGAAGAGAAAAGTATCTGACAGAGAATTTGAACAGAAAAGCGTAGTTGAAAATTTGGGAAAACGTTAACTGTGACAGTGACATTCATATTTTGAAGCATTTTTACCCTTTAAAATATAAACAGAGCATAACAGATGCAGTCGCCATCTTCCATAGGTGGACACTTTGGCTTAGTATCTCCAGTCATTTCACTGGCCTTATAATGTCCCCTTACAGATCCTTCTGCTGGCGGTAATTCTAATAATACTGGAGTGTAGTGTGTTCTATCGGTGCTGCCAGAGTGAGAGCTGTAACAAAACCTACAGGGTGAGTCTGTGTTTTATTTTTGTGGGTATCTTCAGCATTATTTCTGAGCGCCTTCCTGTTCTTGTGTTTCCAGCACATCCTTTTGCCTTCTCCACGGCAATGTTTCTACTTCCTTTTACAGAGAAGGATTCGAAGTTGGATTGAGAGGTCACAGGAATTGTAGCTTCTTCCTTCTGATGCATAAGCAGGATGCAAGAAAACTAAACAAAAAAACAAAAAAAACAAAAAAACACCCAAAAAAAAAACCCAAACCCCAAAAAAAAAAACCCCACCATAAAATAAACCCTTGTAAAATAAAATTAGAACATAGAAGGCCTGAGAGCTTCAACAAAATGCCCCAACTAAACAGCTTCATCCCCTTGCTTGTATTTGGAAGTTATTTTTTCCAGTAATGACTCAATATACACTGTCTGGGATGCAAATTTATTTAGTTTGTGATTGTGTTCCTGTCACATTTTGGGAAACAGTTGTGAAACAATGCAAGTTAAAAAAACAAACAAACAAACCCCAGAAACAAATAGCAAAATAATATTTAACTGGGAGTTGTGAGACTGTCTTAAACTCTGTCAATCTTTATTTTATGTGTGTATGTTTAATGTTCTTTACCTGGTATTTTTCTTTCTGAATTTTAAAGACTGGGGAAATCGAATGTGAAATTCAACCTTAAGGAAGTAGCTAGGCAGGCTGAATGACTATTTGCTGTGGACACTGTCCCCACACAATAATTTATTTTTTTTTTCCTCTTCAGAGTTTTATATCAATTGTGCTGGCCCTGCTTGGAGTTGCTTTCTCTGGGTATAGTTGCATCATTTTTACCTTGGGGTTGATCCAAGGCCCCTTCTGCAATTCATCAGATGGATGGGATTATATCTTCAAAGACACTGCTGGAGGGTAAGAAACATCAGTGTAAATCTCTGGAAAAAACAATAGTCAGTCAAATTCTCTTGGAGTTTTATACAAAATGGCATGGTCTCTTGAACACAAGACCTGTATTGGTGAGTGAGGTTTTTCAACTCGTTGAATGAATACCAGAACCTTCAAAGAAAGGTATTTGTTTCCTTGTAAGGAAAGATTAAATGTAAGAATCTTTGTACTGATCAGAACTGGAGGTCCATCTAGGTAAGTGTCCTTTATCTGGGGATGGTTACAGTCACATATAGTGAAAAAATGTAAGATTAGAGTGACTGTAGAAGGATACTTTCTCAGTATATTCCCATGAATTCTTCAACTTTTTGAATCAAGGATTATAGATGGCGTTTTTATATTTAATAACTCAATAGGTTTCTCTTGAACTCCTAAAACCCAGTGAACTCTGTGGTTTGATCAGTGGTAGTTTTAGCATAAAGCTGCTGTATCTCATAAAACACCAAAGTAATGTAGACAAAGTGTTGTATGTGTCCCAGCTTCTAACAGGCATGAAAGGTTGATTCAGATCGGTAACCTGAGACTGCTTTCGCAAGATTTTATGTTCTCCAGTTAAAAGGTCAGAATTTTATAAGGCTTGGATATTTCAAGTCATATAATGCCAAGGTCTTCCAGCTGCATTTGAACGCACTGAGGATTCAATTTGTCAGAGGATCATAAACAAGTTCCTTCAGCATCCAACAGGGTAGTTCCTAAACTGTGACCTTCTCTGACTTAAGTCAGCTTTATTTTAAAACAGTGAAATGTATCCTGCAGTGCATCACCAGCACTGCCATCCTCATTTGGAAATACAAAAAGGAGAACTTGAGTTCAACATAAAGGGCCAGATGCTGAATAATGCACTCCAGATTTCCCTAAAGCATTTCAGTTATGAATGTTTAGGAAAAAAAGCAACTGACACTGAGCCAGTGAGTCTAAGGTTTTGCAATTAACCTTCAGGCTATAGCATATCTTGGTTAAAAGGGCACATGTCTGTTGTCCACATTATGATCCTCAAGGATGCAAAGCATGGCTCTAGAACAACTGAAAATTGCACATGGTGACACCTCAGCTCTGCTGTTTAGGCTGCATGTGCTGGTTAGATTGATACTGTTGGGTGTTCCTGCTCTCTATGTGGAACTGATGTCAGCTGGCCTTCACATAAAGATGAAATTAAATCAGTGAAAGGAAAATTCCCATTTTAGACTTGCTTCTGCCATTTGAAAAAATGTGTCTTTCTAACACTTGGGTGTCTAACAGGGAACCTACTGAAACAGATGTATTTGAGGAAAATAAGTGTTATCATGCAGCTGAGTTTGATGAAACTAGGCAGGAGTTTTGCTGGTGTAAAGAAAGACTAGAGGCTGGCTCCTAAACTTGAAACATATAAAGCCTGATATGGGTTTTATATAGATTATAGATGAAATAGGTGTATTTAAATTGAATTACTCACCGCATTTAATTTACTTCACATTGCTGTTTCTCTAATAGGTACCTCACAGATTACGCTGCTTGGTCTCGGTGCACTGAACCTGCTAACATAGTGGAGTGGAATATCATCTTACTCTCTATTCTGATTGCTCTTAGTGGACTGCAGTTGATCATCTGTTTTCTCAAAGTGGCTGCTGAGTTGAAACGGACACTCTGTGGGACCTACTCTGTTTTTGTCCAGGTAACAAAATACCAGAGGTGATTTCTTCAGCCATCTTCAAGTCAGTTTAGCTTCAGCAGTTTCCCTCAGTTGAGGACCTACCCTTTCGGTTTATGCTTTCTTTACGCTGCCACGTTTTTTTTTACCAGAGGATATGTACTGATAATAAATCTAATGTGTTTAATTCATCCACTAATTCCTTGTGTTATACAGGGATCAGTGGCTGCTCATTCTGACATTTAAGGCTAGGATTGAGAAGGAAAAATGTGGCTGGCAATTCAGTGTTGATGCTGAGTCCGTTAGTCCTATGTCAGCAGAGGCTTCTGAGTACCTTTCTTGTAGCATTCAATATGGTCAATGTTCTTGTCAATGTATGAGTTTCACAGCAGATAGGAAAAAGATGCAAGAGGCAATATGTAGCAGTCGTGATCTGGACATCAATTTTTACTATGTTTTCAGTAGGTTATTGAAACAATAACTGAGAAGGCTCTGCTTTGCGCAGAAGAATTAGTTGAACCCCAGAGCTCAAGTGACTGATCCTGCTCACCTGCACACTGGTATGAAGTAGTGTAGTTTAGTGTGGCATTCACTTTCCCTCGCTGTGGAGGTAGGGTCAAATTGGACATCCTTAACCCTCCCTGTCTGTACTGGGATCAAGGAGCCCTCAGGATCTTTATGTCGCTAACAATCTCAGTGATAACAGCACAAAGAAAGATTTCTAATTAGGAAAAGCAGCAGCCCTCAGCCCTCAGTAGCATGCGTGTGCACCTCCCCCACACACACGTGTGTGTACACATGCATACACACACCAACAATAGGGTTAGTTCTATCATGTAAGTGAGAAATGTTGGGAGAGCAGAGCAAGTAGGATGGCAGTGCCTCTGCAGTGTGAAGCCTCCTGAGCAGTGCTGGTCAGTCAGGGCAGAGGTACTGTAGGTGCCCTGGAGGGCTTTGGGCAGGCAGATAATGGAGCCTTCTTGTAGGAATTTACTGTAACAGCAACCTACATAAGGTCAAGGCCTGAAGCAATTTCTCTCAAAACATTCTTGCCAGTGAAAGAGCCTCCTCAGCCTGGGATCCAGCCCAGCTTCCGGAAAAGTCAAAAGCAATATTGTCAGCTTGTCCCCAGGCACAGAGTAGGGTCACCTCTGGGGGTCTGAATGTGTTGGATTTCGATTGGATGTGGATGTTGGAACAGTCAAACAACTTAATCTGAGAAAAAGAGGGCAATCACTTCCTTCCTTTTTTATTTGCAGGCTGGGATTCTCTGAAAATGACAAGGAAATCTTCACTGCTTCTCCATCATCCCTCAGAAAAAAAGAGAAATGGCTTCTCCAACATTTATGATGGTAGATATTAGTGCTGCAAAGACAGTGAAACCCTTGTCTTAAATCTTCGTGTCTCAAGCCTCTGTAGCTTAGATGAAGTTATTTGAACTGACATCTACATTTTCCTGGTTGTTTTCTAACCTGTTCAGTTGTCCCTGGCAGAGACTCTTCATTATTTTTTACCCTCTAGCTTGTTCTGACAGTAGAGAGGTTTGAATACCATGGATCTGCTTTTATATGATTTTTTTTTTTTTTTAATGAACTGCTGTAAAACTGCTATAGAACTGCTTTTATACTCCCCTCTCTTTGTTTAGAACACAGGAATACTTGTTGTTCCAAAAGGTTCTGATAATAAATTTTAGTTACAGACAGATCATGATGAAGGGCAACAGCTAATCCTGCTCATTCTGTCTTGGAAGTTCTTAACTGCACAAAGCAATTACTGGAAAAAGTCTATCAAGTCTTCCCGTGGAAGGGCTTTTAGAGCAGCAACTGGACCTGATTGAAAGATTAGATACACAGCTTTGAAGTCAGCCATTCTAGTTAGATCACAGTAATAGCTGCACTGGGTTTCTTTTTATTTTATACTTGGAGGCAAACTTTTTTTAGTCAATTATTATGCGACTTGAGGGAATAGATAAGGGAACCTTGTAAGCACCCATTGCTAACTTATTAATACTCTTCTAAATACCCTGACTTTGCTGCAATGGAGGGCTAATATTCTCGACTGTAATAATCAGATGAAAAAGAATAATCCATTTTAAATTAGCAGCTAAAAAGTTTGTTGTTTTTTTTTTTTTTGAAGAATGTTTAATTCAAAGTGGAAATTTGGGAATTTACAATACAGTGGACGTTCGGCTCATTTGCAGCTGCATGGGCAACAATTTGGCTGTACTCAATACTCTAGTTATGAGAGAATGAACACCCAGATGAAAGCAAAATATGTACTTCAGACTTGCGGTAATGCACGTATCTCTTACATCAGAACTAGTGGTATTCAGCTATATCAACATCTAATATAAAATGCTGCTAGCTCTGCAAATTGTACAGTAAGTAGCATCAGGGTAAGATATTTAGGAAAAAAAAAAAGAATATATCAGTCAATTCTTTTTTCAAGACAACACTCATATTTTGCCTTGATATTCCTTTACCAGATTGGTTTGAAAAGCTGATTTCTTCCTGTAGGATTTGAAAAATGCATTTAAAGTTTTAATTGCTTAGTTACTATTAAGTTGCAAGAAGTAATGAAGAAATTAATGATGTTTAAGAATGGAGCTAATCTTTTGAGAATGATGTTTAAGAATAGAGCTAGCTCAAGGTGGCATGGGTGTTCAGAGATGCATGGTAAAAAGGCATAATTATAAAATGGGGACTGTTTGTATCTTCACACTTGTTTTTCCCTAGGCTTAAATATAAATCATACCACCAATCTACTTAAATGATAATCCCACATTTTCATGGACTTGTGGATATTTTTTGCAGACAAAAGGAAAGGAAGGAAAACTTAACAATCAACCCATACTCCTACCAAACATCTTGGAGAATCTTGCTGTTGTCATGCCTGCAAACTATGGAGCTGTTTGTTTTGAAGATGTTAGAAATACTTGAAAAAAATTTTGGTTATTTGGCTGAAAAATAGTTTGTGTTGGGTAGATATTGAAAGCAGAAAATCCCTACAACTGCTAAATATTCCTAAAGTGAATGGTGCCGTTTCATTGAAAAATGGTATTCTATTCAGACTCCAGCTCAGCCATGGGGAAAATAGAGGCTTATCTTTAGGCAAACAGGGTCTACTGAGAGAGATGTTGGTATGCTGGATGAAAAAAATGAAACACTTTGAAGTTACACTGGAAACTTAACTCTTTTCTTGCTCCTGTATATGTCCTTTCTACTTTTCAGTATCTTCTGACTGTTTATGTAAAGTCTTGAGCTTGGCAGATGAAGGACACACAGAGCAGTATCTAGTTTGACAGCTTTTTCCATATTAACATTATTAGTGGTTGTACCTAACGATTGATGGGGCTTGGCTGTCTTTAGTTCATTCTTGTTTTCTTTTTTCTTTTCTTGTTTGTGTGTTACTGACTTATGAATTTACATTTCTGCCCTATCAGAGACTGGTATCTCCTATTTTAGTGGCTTAAATCAAATAAAAGGTGTGTAATTTAGTTCTTGTTGGACATACTGATTCTGCGACCCTCTTCATCCATTATCTATATATTGGCATCTTCATTGCCGTAGCCAGACTCAAATGTGACTTGGCAGCTCACCTTTTAAATGGCCAATTTATTAATTTGAAATTAATGGTAAGAACACTAAAGGCTAACAGTGGATTGAATTTGCAAATTTTACAGCTTATCTCACACAGGGCTTTTGGACGTAAGGCAAATTTAAACTTGATCTAACCAATTTAAAACCTTATTCAATCCTAAATAAGGTGTCTGTAAGAAGAGGTACTTTGAGCTGTACCTTGTTGCAAAGAAAGATTCCTGTAAGGAATATTAACTGACTTGAAACTTAGACATAACAGGCAACTCTGGTAGTGGTGTTTAAGACAACGTGACCATCTGGCTCTCCAGCTGCAGAAAAGTGACCTCACCCTGACAACAGGAGAAGGAGGTAGGCTGCAGAGCCAGGACGAAGCTCACTCCATGCTAGCACACAAGAAACCCTTTTTTGAAGAAGTGTTCCTGAACCTGAATTGCATGTTGCTTGTTAAATGTAATGTCCTGGGCGTACCTGGAACAAAGCTGCACGTTTGATGTTATAAACTTCACTAAGTAAGGAGTTAATACTGAAATCTAGAAGTTAAGAGTTTCATCAGTATTTGCTCCTTACAGCCTATGCATTTTGTTAGAGTATTAGGATGTTGTGTCTACAATGGGAATATAATTCATTTAAAACACTGCAACTGGAAATAGATGTAGAGACTTGATTTTGACCACAAATAATTGTGAGCTGAGATTTGTCGTAAAATACTGTGGAGCCCCAAACACACCTTTGCATGTTGGGGTATATTATTCCTTGTGCAGGTGAAAGTGAGTCTCACTGAAGTACAGTTTCCTCATTCTTCACACGCTGGATGGAGGTGTTTTCCCACATCGAAAAGGAATAGGGTGGCAGAGGACAAATGAAGCTCCTCAGAAAGTAAAAGTTTACCTCTAAATTTTTGCAGGAGGTCAGAACAGCAGAATGGGCAGGAGACTATATTCACATTAGGGAATTACGAAACTGTGGGGTTTCAGTTTAGTCTGGGAGCTTCTGTTAAGACTTTTTCATCAGAATATTCCATGTTTGCTTCTGGTTTTGGTTTCTTTTTTGTTTGTTTCTTTTTGTTTGTTTGTTTATTTCATCAAGGAACATTTTTAAAGTAAAACATCAGCTTTATATTTTCAAAGCAAACTTCCAGAACAGTCATTGCATTCTCAGCGTTCTCAGTATGAGAAATTGAGGTACTGTGGTTTAAAACAATAAGGGGATATTCATGACACCAAACTGCAGACTCATAATTCGACCAATTAAATTAGATGCTTAGTCTTTTTAGGCCCTATTTACTAGAGAGCAGTACGTAGCCTATATTGCTTGGTCACCTCTGTCAGCTTTTTGAGTTCCTTAAGAGAAAGATACTAGGGAAAGGCACAGAAATATCTTAAAAGTTTGGGTGAGGCACAATTAAAAGTTGTAATGGAAAAATCTTGCCTGTCAGAAGTGTTTATCTTTAAATAAAACCAATATGCAGTTCTTCTGCAAATCAAGAAAAAGTAATTTAGAGGAGTCAAAGGACTTAGGCAAAGAAATGCTCATGGTTTTACCCTCAAATAAATATGGAGATTTCAAGGATATTGCCTGTGATTTTTTTTTTTTTTTTCTTTTCCTCAGTCTGATGGAATTTAAAAATAAAGCAAATAGCCCACATACACAGGAGCAGCTCTGTTTGCTGAGTATTAAGGAATCACTTTGAATTTCAGTAGTATAAGAAGGTAAATGTTTCCTCATTTTTACCTGTAGTTAATTTACAGATGGGGCATACGCAACCTGTACAAGCTGATCTTTCCACTGAACCACTGACCTTCATTCTTGGCAAAGAAAAAAAAATCCCTGCAGAAGTAATTTGGAGCATGTGATGCCAAGCTGGGAAACTCCAGAATTTCATCATAGATTTGGTCAGATTTCAAAAACTTGGCTTTAGCTACAGTCATTTAGACAGAAGCAGAATCACCCATTTAATGCACGTGTGTAGAAGGTTCCAAAAGGTGAGATTATGAACTTCAATTTTCTGGCAGTGCCTGAATTTTTTTATCTGAATAGTGATTAAAATTGGTAATTTATCTGTATGTCACAGTCCTAGTAAATAAGTTTTAGATTTATATGTCCATTAAAGGAAACCTATTGTACTTTAGTTATGTTCTTCTATGCAAAATACTCATAATTTTTCTGGCCATTAAGAAAAAGAAGATTCTGGTTATTACAGGTGGTTTTAAGTTGCCATACAATGAAAAACGTAATTTAGAGTGAGTGTGACTCTGTCAGTGCTCAAAATGCAGAAGAGATTTTTTTTAAGAGTTCCCAAGCAACTGAAGATATATCGATATTTCATAGAAGTCTTTACAGTTGGCAAGTTTACAGCTGGCTTTGTATGTCTAAAGCATACACCCATGATGTAATGGATATATGTTTGGAATAAAAAATGCAACCGCAAACTTCAGTTGGGTGGGTTTTGTGTGTCCTATATTTAAGGTTCAATTTTGTTCTTATTTCTCAGTGAGACTTGCAGATACAAAATATTTACAGAACTTATATAAGCAAAAGTATAGCTGCCTGTGCTGGTTAATCCATTTAGATAATGGTAACAGTTAAAGGTTATCTGGAGCTTTATATATCTATTATGCTTTTAACCATTGAGGAATGTGACTTATCCTGTCTGGTGATAGACTAGGAGGAAGATAACATAGGGAGCTAATTTTGTGGAATTTCTGAGCCTCATTTCCATTTGGACAATACTGAAACTGCTTGGAAATGAGATGCAAACATCCCCCACCTCCACTGGTGACCAGCCGGTCCTTTTCATCTCTAACCTATGTGCCACACTTTGTGTTAAAATTGCATTTCCAAGGGAACCATGGTGGGTTAGCAGAGCTTATCCATGGACACATCAGCTCTGCTCTGATAACAGTGACCGAATCCTCTCTTATCTGTGTTGTACCAGTTTAGCAATTGCTGTGCAGAGGGGAAGAAACAGCAGTCTGTAGATTAAGAACCAGCAAGGAAAATAGGCAGCAGACAGTGTGCATCTACAGGGCCTGCCCTGCATCCAGTTATGTCAGCGTACAAGCAGATACACAAGGAAAAACAGGTGTCATTAGAGATTTTCACAATGCATTTAAAAAGTTGTGTTCTTGTGCTGCACATCACCAAAATGATTTTATGAGTAGTATGCAAGCTATAAAGATTGTGATGAATGTAATTAAGCTTAAGTATGTAAAGCCATTTAAATCTACTGTACTTTCAGTTCAGCTCCAAGATTTGCAGTCCGGTAACCATCTAAATGGTAATTTGTGTGGTAGTAGCTTGGCAGAAACTGAAAAACGTTCTTTGAAGATTATCTGAACTGATGAGATTACCAGAATCTTTTGTTTACTCTTGACACACTGAGACATTGTGCAATAGTTTCTTGTGTTCACCAAAGCAAACAGGAGCAGGGAGTGGGGGGAGGCAAGGAGGGTGGTGGGTGGGAAAGACAACATATAAAGGGAAATTGCATGTGCCCGTCCTGTGTTTGTATTTCACAT